CTCCAGCCGACGCCCACCGCCTGGGATCTGGTACGTGGCGGCCGGCGACCGGGGCCTGGTCACGCCGTGTGTTGCGCTCGGGCGGGCCCGTCGCGCTGGGTTTACCGCTGCTTGCCGCTGGGAGACTGGCGCCGCTGCTGCTGCCCCTGCCCGGGGTCCCAGCGGAGCGCCCCTGCGGCCCTGCCGGGACTGTCCGGCGGGGTTCACGGTCGGGGGTCGTGGGGCCGGGTGAACGCAGGAGGGGGAAGGGGGGGGGGGGGGGGTGGGCTGCAGTGTTATCCCACTGTTTGCCTCACGCCCTAATCGTGCAGCAGTCCGGTAGATCCGGAACGGTCTGTAGAGGCCGAACGTATCCTGACCATACGAAACCCAGTTAGATGTAGCGGGCGGCCGCCACAGGACTCGCGGATGGGCATGCTCCGGGTGGTGCAGTCTGACAGCCCTGTTCGCATTTCAAATCACTCACGTCGTCACCTATTCCGCCACGGAATCAGCCGCGGCTTGACGGAGGGTGGCTGTTCCAGCTGTCGCAGCATCTGAAGAGTGTACATGCATGTCACCCTGGACTACATCTCGCCCGGGTCAGCTCGCTGCGTGCTGAAGCCCGTGTGTTTCGCCCTGTATTGCGTACTAATGCAGAGTGTCGCTGAAGTGAGATGATAAGGCCGAAATCGCCTGCCGCCGTGGTTTCAGTTCCCTGTTTTCTTTCATCATGAGGAAACGTTTCCTCTCCAGATGTCGTCTCCCCCTCTGCTTTCTCCCAAGGTGTCCTTTTTCCCTTCATTTCCTCTCAAGATGTCCCCTCCCCTCTGCTTTCTCCCAAGGTGTCCTCTTTCCCCTTCATTTCCTCTCAAGATGTCCTCTCCCCTCTGCTCTTTCTCAAGGTGTCCTCTTTCCCTCCATTTCCTCCCAAGATGACCTCTCCCCCTCTGCTTTCTCCCAAGGTGTCCTCTTTCCCTCTGTTTCCTCCCAAGATGACCTCTCCCCCTCTACTTTCTCTCAAGGTGCCCTCTTTCCCTCCATTTCCTCCCAAGATGACTTCCCCCCCTCTGCTTTCTCCCAAGGTGTCCTCTTTCCCTCCCCTTTCCTCCCAAGATGACCTCTCCCCTCTGCTTTCTCCCAAGGTGTCATCTTTCCCTCGATGTCTTCCCAAGACGTCCTTTCCCCTTCAGGGGATGTCCTGTTTCTCTGTTTTGTCTACTCCCGCCATGTGGTGCCACGTCCCCAGCTGCTCGCCCCCCACCCGGCACCGTCCCCCGTCCGCCGGCCGGTGCTGCGTGCTCAGTTCGACCTCCACCCGCCAGGTGGTACCACGTCCCCAGCTGCGCGCCCCCCCCCCCACCAGACATCGTCCCCCGTCCGCCGGCCGGTGCCGCGTGCTCAGTTCGACCTCCACCCGCCAGGTGGTGCTGTGCGGCGCAGCCGGGGACGTGCCCTGCGCGGTGCGTCAGACCGGCGCTGGATTTGAGGTTACGTGCGGCGAGCACCAGCTGACAATGGCCGATGACTTCACGCTGGCCGAGCCCGTCATGAACCTCACCATCAACGGACAGCGCGAGATGGTGCAGCTGGTGCGGCGCGGCCTCAAGGGCGACGCCAGGCTCAGGTGCGCGGCGCCGCTGGGCCGGGGCAGGCGCGCGGCTCACGTCAGCCGCCTGCCGGCTTTCGGTCGCGCGCGCGCTGCTGCGCTCGACAAGGCGGTTGTGCTGCATGCTTCATGTGGGGTCAACTATCCATTGGCGCGGTCGATTTTCGGTTGTTTTTGGAGGGAAGGGGTCCACCGTCTCATCTTCCGAAAGTGTGGTTTTCGGGCTGTCCATGGTTTGAATTCTGATGAAACGGAACCAGTGAGTGAAGCTACCAGACGTTTCATCGCTGATCTGTCGAAAGCCAATCCCGTCTCGGATGCTGGGCGTCCTCGCTGCCCATGACGCCGGGGCCGTGTGCTGTCTCAGGTTCCGAGGAACGGCGTTTGACGTGCAGGTGTACTCGGACGCTGCCTACGAGTACTTCAAAATGATGCCGAAGAAAGAGGAGGTGAGACTCCGGTCCGTCGCTCTGGCACCGAAGCCTTGTTGTAGTTCTCGTGATAACACCGGGGCAGCCTTTTTGCTACATCTTTTGACCTTGCTCCGTGTCGCCATTCATGTGCGCTCAGCCCTTCAGCAAAGCTCGCATGTAAGCGGATGGGCTTGCCGGACGAGCTGGTCACTTGCCGCTGGAGGCCTTTCTGCGTGATGCGCCATGAGCTGGGCTGTCCATGAGTGACACCCAGAATAATGGCCACCCCGGGAATGCCTCCTGTGACGTCACACCGCCATGCAGTGACATCATACCGCCGGTCTTGTCGGCTCGCAGGCGGACGTGGGCAAACAGGTGACGTCACCGATGCCGGGCCTGGTGAAGTCGGTGGCGGTGAGCGTCGGCGACATGGTCTCGGAGGGCCAGGAGGTATGCGTCATCGAGGCGATGAAGATGCAGAACTCCCTGGTGGCCGCGGCCACCGGCAAAGTGCGCGCCATCCACGTCAAGGAGGGCGACACCGTCGAAGACGAACAAATCTTGGTGGAGCTGGAGTAGGAGCGATGACAGCCGGCAGATGCGCGCGGACTCGCGGCTGCACGGTGGTGACATCTGCCGGCGCGATGGGAAGCTGTTGACGCTGCGGGGCGAGCGTTGATTTTTGTATTGGACGGTGCTTAATGGTAGCGGTGGCGTGGCAGTTCTTCGTGATCGTTACCGCGTGTCGATTGTCACTTCTCTTGTTCGTCGGGTCTGCATTAGGCTGTGAGGTAATGATTAATTAGTTTTCAATTAAGTTGCAGTGAAGACAATTTGGTTCTTGTCGCATTTAACTCATCGCTTCCCCCATACAGTATGGCAAGGACAATTGATAACGGGTCTACCTGACCCTTGCCATCATCTTAGAGGACCATGTTGTGTAGAACAGTATGCGTATGAATATTGAAGACACCTGCCTTTTGTTACGTAGATTGTATTGGGATTTGGAGTGAGCCAGTGGAAGTTGCAGTGTGCTATGCGACGTGGGACGTGCAATATGATGTAGCGACGAGATCATCTCGGAGAGTTTACCTATGTGTGCAGCAGAGAGATGGATTGCAACCAAAATGACACCGCGTGCGTCGAATTCACCCTCCTCCAGACGGACTGCAGCGACCGTGGTACTTTATGTCCGTTATCAGTTCGCAATCACAGACACAAGCTCATATCTCGGCAGCATGGCGCCAAGACATCACCAGAACGCGATTCGACCCCTCTATCTGCCCGCACTTTTTCCCCACACCTCATGGGTACTAACGTCGGTGCGAGCGGAGATGGGACACCTGCCAGCCGATGTCGACTCTGAGCGGTGGCCGCGCGCGGAGCAACCCGCACCGGCGGGGAGCGGAGCGCTGCCGTCTCGCGCGGCGCCGTGGCGCCCCAAATCACACCACACGAACGTCACCAGAGGCGGCGGCGTGCCTGGCAGGGGATGGCTTTGGCCGCGATCAGTCGCGTCATGGTGCTGCTCGGCACGGTGGCACGTCTGATGTTTGGGCAACAGAATGAGTCAGCACTAAGCGCGTACTTTGGACCGCGGGTGCAGTCTACCCTCTGCCCCAGATTTGACGGCAAGAGTTCAGTCTCTTGAGGTCAAACATGTCGATCCAGCACAGGACTGCGCATTGGCCAGCGAGGAATGGTAGGGGCTCCACCCTGCCCCCCCCTCTCCCCGTCCTTGGGGTTGGCCGGCACAGCGCCTGTGATGTTTCGTGCATTAGCGGGTTAGTGACCCCATGATGCCAGTTGGCTGCCGGCAGCCCAAGTGTAGTCATCATCCGGCGCTTGCTTACGCGGAGTTCGCCGCGGGTCGTCTCGTGTTCTTATATGATCAATCAGTCCCAAGGGCTGAGCTTTGAACTCGGGCCCTCACATGGGATTGCAGTCACGTCCAATGGACCAGGGATACAGCCAGAACTCATCATCGGTCAGGACGCATTGCGCCGCTTTCTTACTTCTGTCAGAAGCCATCTATGATGAAAAACCTTGAGCCTTATGTGGCTCACTGTGAGCCTAAAGGGAAGGGAGAGGGGCACAACTCCCCCGGCTGCACCCCTGCAATCGACCAACGCGCCCTTACGATGCAGAGACAATGCGGCGACTGTGTCATACTCCACCGCAGAACGCATGCGGAGTCATGGCTGGTCGAGGGCTGATCGCGCAGGTCAGATGATATATATTTTGCCCATCGGCGATGCATTAGCTCAACGTCTCCACGAGAGTTACCGGGGGATGCCTTGTGAAAGGCCTACGGTGCGGAACCACGTCTTGTCGATAAGCAAAATATCGCGGGACTCGCGCCATTACAAGCCAAAGCCGTCGGCACTTTTGCGGACAGGGGCTTGCCCTTTCTCACGATGCATGCTATAATAAACCTGCGTTGGCCCACATTACTGGACGTTTGGAGCGCAATGGAATTACCACAGGCTCAAAAATTGTTGACATCAGGGTATCAGCCGTGCCTCCAAATTACATCCGCTCCGTCACAGACGAAGGGTGGAGCTGGCGGGCCCTTTACAGTCTTGTTGCAGGATTTTATTTGACGCCTATGGCGTTGCAAGGAAAAACATCTCTCGGACAACATTCCTAACCATTTGGTCTCGTCGTGGAGTCAATTCTCCTGAACCCCCCCCCCCCCCAGACATCGGCTCTAATTCTGTCATGTCGACGTGAAATGTAATAGAAGATTACCTAGGATCCAGTTAGGACACCAACTCAGAAATAGCATGATTCTGAAAGCACGCCATTCGTTCCCCTCCATATCAATATCGACCTCCATAAGAAACGAGTGAACCGAGTCTTGCAGAGGTCTAAGGTCTTGGATGCGTCAGGCTATCACATAAATTACTTCGTGTTCGGTAAATTCCTTTAGATCTGGGAGCAATAGTGGGGCCCACCCAATCTGGGGCAGCTGATACATGTTTGGGGAAAGCCTCAAAGGGCACGGACTTGGGGGGAAGGGGTCGCGCGTTGGGTGTTGTGTAGGGCGCCATAATATTTGTTGTTGCCTTCCTTCCCTGTGTTACTATCCGCATCCGGTTATTGAACTTAAAAGTGAAAGTCTGACCTACGAGACCAAAGAAGATATCACCCCGGCTAGAAATTAAGAGTAGGGCCAGGTTGTTAGAATAGACGCGGTACGTACCAGCGTTTTAACATCTGTGCCTGCCTATAAAATTTGATCATATCACAAGTCGTTGTCTGCATAGTCGTACAATTAGCCATTTGCTTTTGTAAATCACTTTGTTTTTTCTTGTGAGTCTTTAGTTTCCTGCATCCTTACTGCCATATTGACCCTGCATTTACCTGCATCTGTCCTGAAAAGAGATGTTGACTTGACACCCCCATTGTGTGCAACTACCTGAACTTGCATCTGCAGGCTCAGACCAAGTCAAAGGTTGCCAAAGTTTTACTTATTTCTGTGAAAAATGTCTTAAATATTTGTTATGCCATAGATGTGTACATTTTTCATTATTTTTTAACTGAAAATACCTTTGCAATGCCATAATTCCTCTAAACCTTGGATTATGATATAATGCCATGAAACTTGCTGCAGTGTCACTACTGTATGTAATGCCACTACTGTCATGCAATGTTGCTGTTGCTATGCTGGATGTGTTTGGCATGACATTTGTTTCCTAGGTGTGGTGTCAGACCAATTTACTGTTATGTGCAAATACTAAATCATTTCCCGAAACATTGTGAACTTAGAGATGCATTCTTTGGGTAGAAAAGATGGTGCTTTGTTTTCTTTGTTTCACACATGTCTGATACAGAAAAGCTATAAAGGATTTTTTGCTGAAACGTGCAAAGAGGAGCTTCATGTTACTAGGAGTGATTTTCTGACCATTTCAAAAAAATAATTGTACACCATTCATCATGTTTAAGGCAGGACATATTGTAAATAATCGCAAAACAGGTAGATTCATGCTCTTACCTTCAAATTTTTTATGATTACGATGGCGATGGTCGGTTAAGTCATGCTCAAGTTTGAGTTGGTCTGCGAACATAGGAAGTGACAGCTTTGCTAATCTACAGACTGGTGCGATTCTGGTACTTTCTCATTTCCCGGCTTTGTTCAAAGGTGATTCCATTCAACATTCACACACTTTTTTACATTTCCATACATGGTGTATCATGTACCTAGGTGGCAACACAGGCTGCTTGCTATTGGGCGTCTTAGTCTGGTGGGTGCAATATTTTTGCTCTTGCAGATATCAATACATGGCTCCTGATGGAAGCAGCAAGTCTGAACCTGTTGCATGTTCTGGTTTTATTTTGTCCTGACACAAAGAGGTAAAATAAGCTTTTACAAAAGCTGTTTTTGTTCCATCATGATGGAGTACAAAGTACTTCTTTTTACCTAGTCACAATCCTGGAGTCCAAAATCTCCTGGTATACATTACACCAGGAAATGTCAAGTTTTCCAACACTGGACCATTTTACTGATGTTTTCAAAACCTGAACCAGCCGGTATAGCAGATTTAAAGATTTCTGCACAACCCTAACTTAAACTGCTATGACCTTTGTCTTTATAGTGGGAGTGCTTGTCAGTGATAATTTATGTTTTGTAATGCAAATTTGATCCTTTGTTTTGTTAGATTCTGTAGTAAGAAAAATATAAAATACTTTTCTGGAAATTTGACCTATTTTTAAGCCATGAACTACCAAGAATCTTAGCCCCTTTGATTTGTTATAGCCACTAATGCAATGTTATGCAATGGGGCTGTGATCTAGAGACATTGGTCAATGGAGAAGTCAGATTGTTTTCCAGTGCTCTAGAATGGGCAATGTATGTGCTCTGCTGGAGAGGGGTGGAGAAAGTCCCCAACTCTTTTCACAGTTTTGATGATTATTGGTCCTGTGGTGCTGCATGGGAAGAAATTCCTGAACCAACCTTGATATTTCTAAAATTTTTGGTATCTGACATAGACTGTGGAATTAATTATATTTTTAGTGTGATATATCTATCATACCAATGATCTATATGAAAACTATGATAGCATCTATGTAGTTGCTATGGTATGCCATTTGCACTGGTGGTTTCAGACTGCTTGCAGATAGCATTGTTATAATGCTGATATATTCCTCAAAGTACTATGGTGACATATTTTCAAAAGTAAACAAATATGGTTGATTCTATGCATGGTTCTTGCAATATGGTTCTACCACCCTTCTATTTTGTACAGTGCTAAAGCATCACATAATCTTGGCACTCATTGAACTGTATGCCAAAACAGATAATGTGGTTTGTCTTTGTTGGCTCATTTCAGAATGGTTTGAGAGAGCCATTACTGGAACATGTAGCCATGCCATTGCATAATGTGATACCCTTAAGTCTTGGAGGTTGTGTTGAGCAAGAATTTCTGTATAGCACTACAGGGGCAGGGTTTCAAATAAGTCACCAAGGGTTTCAGTAAGTTTAACAAATGTTTCCAATTCCAGTCAGTTGTGCAAAACCTTTGGCTAGATGATTGAAGAAGTTCAGGCCCATGACTACTCATGTTATGTAAACACAAGGATCAGCCTTTGGCTAGTTGATTTAAGAAAATCAGTCCCACTGACTACATATGTTGTGCAAACACAGTGGCCAGATAGTCCAGACATATATCAAGGGGTGTTGTTCCATACTCAGTTGAAGAGGCTGTAGCCACCCAACTGTGCCTCAACTTGGCCATCCGACCTTCCAAAAGGGGAAATGGGTTAAATCATTGGAGAAATTATACTGAGCATGCAAATTGTAATATTTCTAGCCAGTTTTACTTGGATGCGTTTGCCTCCCACAAGTACTTTTGGAAAACATTTTTTTTTTTTACCTTTTGATAGAATGTGTTTCTTGGATCTGTCCACTGCTCTAACAGTACTTGTTAGTTGAGCCCTTACCCCACAATCATGCATTCTCACCTTAGTTTCTCACCCCTGGATATTTCTGTATCATTTACACATCTTGTCATGCCTCATACCACTATTGATGCACCTTCATCAAGCATGCATAACACTTAATCCACCATTGTAGTATTGACTTTTGAGCCAGTGTTTGATGTGCTCAATGGTGCTTGATGACCATATGCAGTCAGCATGCCAAAAAGCCCAGTTCATTATCATGATATACTGGCATCCACTTTCAGAAAAAATGGGCAAGAAGGCACAAAACAACACAGCCTTGGTGCGCCTGAGGCGTGACTACATGCGCCTGAAAGCTGACCCTGTGCCGTACATATCGGCTGAGCCGCTGCCTTCCAACATCTTGGAATGGTAAGCATGCCTGTGTTGATGCTGGCTGCCAGCCGCCAGGCACTCTAGGGTGATTTGTGTCGACCATGTTCAACTGGAGGTATCAGGTGTTCATGGGTTAAGGGCCAGCTGACTAAGCCTTTTTTGGAAGAGGGTAATCGTGGTATTGTTCTGCCACCTAGCGGTAGGATTAAATACGTAACTGTTCTGCCATCTAGCAGCAGGAATCAGAACCAAGTTTGGATGTGATCGCTGAATGCGGTGAACACGGACGTTGTGAATTTCGACGTCGCGAGTTTGGATGCTTTGAAGGCCGCCAATGGGCGTGGAACTGGATGCGATGAACACTGCATCTTGCCATTTTGGATGTTATGAATGCTGGCTGCTGTAATTTTGGACGATAGGAACGCGGGACGTCGCAATCATGAACGTTTTGATGGTTCTCCGTCGTATAAATGGTTGAGGCGTTAGAAATTCTGTACAATTCACGTGGTTTTATTGATAAAATATGATGTCGGCACCGATAAAGCATGAGTACAACAATGTTGTGTTACCAGATAAGCCCAGTTGTCCTGAACGCTGATCGGTTCACACAAGCAGTATCGAGGCTATGGCGGTAGCATCCCGAGTCCCGCATGAACAGCGGGCGCTCCCATTGGCACAGGGTGACTGGTCGTACGGGTGTCTGACGGAGGCCTCCGTCCCATCGACCTTACAGAGGCCTCCATCTGCCGGCCTTACAGAGGCCTCCGTCCCGCCGCGTTACAGAGGCCCCGTCCCACCGTCTTACAGAGGCCCCGTCCCGCCGCCTTACAGAGGCATCCGTCCCACCGGCCTTGCAGAGGCCTCCGTCACACCGGTTTACAGAGGCCTCCGTCCGGCCGCCTTACCGAGGCCTCCGTCCCACCGGCCTTGCAGAGGCCACCGTCCCACTGTCCCGCCGTCGGGGGTCCCGTCACGGTCGGCCGTCTTCACGCTTCTTTCTGGAGCGCGACGACGGCGAATGTGAACTCGTCCTGCTCCAGCATGCCGTCGCCGTCGGTGTCGGCGTCCTCCAGCACGTAGCGCACGTGCTCGAGCTGCCGGTGTCCACTGAGCAGCGACGGCGCCACCTCCAGGGCCTGCTGCTGCGTCAGCTGGCCGTTGCCGTCTGTGTCTTCGGCGCGGAAAGGCGATGGGTACGACCTCGGCCGGCGGCGGCTCGTTGGCCGCCTGCCGGAAGTCGGCCAGGTTGACGAAGCCGTCGCCGTCGCCGTCCATGAGCGAGATGGTGTGCCGCACGTCGGCGACGCTGAGGTGCGGGCCCGCCGGCCCGTATGATGGGCTCGAGCTCGGCCGGCGAGAGGCGGCCGTCGCCGTCGGCGTCCGACTGGTCCAGCATGCCCTGGAACACCTGCTGCACCTCGTCGCCGTTCGAGGCCCATGGGCATAGCGGCGCCCAGCGCGCCCGTCTATGGGTGGAAAAAGCGCGTGAGGAGAGTGACGGTCTGGCTGTCATCACCGTCATCAGTACACAGCCTCATGTGGTCAGGAAGGTCGTCAGCGAGACGCGTCTGGCAACACTTAACGGCCGGCGCAAGCGAACATCAGGTGCCGTTATGACGGCAGCGCTCCGTGATTTGGCCCTGACGTCACACGGTATCACTGCCCCGCCGTGGGTTGTCCACTCACCAGGGCGATGGCAGCGATCAGCTTCAGCATTGTGCTCGACTGTGTTCGGCTGGAACGGTCAATGCAGGACGCGCGGTATGACCGGTGTGAAGGATGCTTGGCAGACGGTCGCCGCGCCCCGCCTTTATACGAATTGGCCGCCCGTCCGCCGGCAGCGGCAGCGGCGTCACCAGGAATACGACGCTGCAGGTGACACGGGATACGGCGAGCTGATATGCCACCCACCCTGTCATGACCCTGTGACATGGCGTGAGCCCACCGCGGTGTCGGACGTTAGGAGACGAGGGCGGGATCAGCGGCCGGCATGACCTGTCGGCCCCCAGAGCGACGCCGCTGGAGCCACTGCTGCGCGGCCGGCTGGCCCAGCTGAGTGACGTCACACTGCAGAGCCGTGCAGGATGGCGCGTGTTGGGCACGATTATATTTTACGGGCAGCAGACGTCGTAGGCCTTATGGACGCTTAACAACTCTTCGACGCGCGTTTTGGCTTTAGGAATGGGTGTATCACGTGGCCCATAGTGGTGCACTGGCGCAAAAATTAATCAATGCGGTGCTTGATAACAGGCTGTTTTGGCCTGCTAGGTGAATCACAAACGTTCCCAACAGTCGAGATGCCACGGTGGTTGACATGAGGACGGTGGTCGCGATAACGGCGGGGAAGAAGCGTAGTGTTGATACCAATGTGTTAACAGCGAAGTTTGGACATTATTGACATCCTTTTATGACTCATCCTTTGATAACTTGCATGGGCGTAGGAACATTTAAAAAGGGGGGGGGGACAAGCTTAGGGTGTACTTCAGGAGCTTTTTCTGGAAAGCGACCGCGGATGACCGGGGGAAGGAGGGGGGCGGGGGGGGGGGTAGGGATGGGGATTGCTATCGCTCTTTATTCAAATGTCACGGCTTCTGTGCTAGCTATGCATCTAGAGCTGTTTTTCACTGGTGCACTATATTGCCTATTCGACTCATCTGTCATTTGGCAAATAAGGCTATCCAGCTCCCCTAGATTTTTCGTCCATTTTAACACTGTCTTTCCTGGGGAGACGCAATTCCACGATCGAGTAGGTATTTTTGGTCGTTAAGGAAGCATTTGCCTCCACAGTGTAGATGCCAAAATACGGCATGGATATAGGCTGGTGAGAATTTTGAAAGTGGCTGGATGGCTCACAACGCGCCAGGTTTTTAATGCGCCTTCATTTCGCCGGCTGCTTTTCAAGAAATAGGACTTGTCGCAGTATTTTAGGCGGAAACAAATTCGAGAGCTTGAAACTGCTAGAAACAGTGTGACAAAATCCACAAAACTGGAGATTGTCTTTTAAGAATCAAGCCACATAATAAGGCCCATCTGTCATATGCTCTTGTCCGCCGTCGGTGGCCACTGCCCTGGCCTGGATGTCTCCCACATGGCTGACTGCGAGCTGATCGTGTGGCTACTTTGTTGCATACTTTTGGATCAGCGTTACTTCTACATGGTGTATGAAACATGTGTTGGACACCTGCAACAGTATTTTTCCCGAAAGTATCTTCCCTTATACCACACCGTCGCAGAAAAATAGTCTCCGTGAAGCTGCCTGCTGTAGGTATGGATTGGCCCAACGGACGCTTCATTGCCCATCATGCAACGTACGCGACTTGATCTGCTTTTGGGTGTAGGCAGGCGCGTAGCAAAGGGCCTTGCCAACAGGGAACACAGGGTTGACAAAAGCCCATCTTATGGTGACCCCCCCCAAAAAAAAAATCCCCGGATAGGGCTTACTTGTTAACAAGTGACACGGTTTTCTTCGTTTTATTGTTATTTTTACCTTGTTACCAGAGCAGAAATCAGGAGTTACCGTGAGCTCAATTTTGTTTGCATTTTGAGGTCAATAAGCTGCAGAAATCGGGCGTTGAACGACTGCATGGAGGAAATCACCGGCGCTCTTAATTCACAATGGTTAGCTGACTCTAAACCGATAGAATTCAGAAGCTTTGCCAATTTTTTTATCTGTGTTCTACAGACCTTGAGGACATTGCGAAGGTAGATTGCAGATCAATATGTTGGATCCAAATTTGAAGACGAAAATTCTATTGCAAATGGAGTGGTCGACAATGTGTATTAACATGGCCAAGCCATGTTTGTCTGAAAATTTTCACCATTCAGTCAGAATCGATAAGTGAAACAATTCATGTAACGTGTTTTTAACATGCTCGCTCGCAAATCCTAGTAACAAAAACCTCGACCCCAGGCGTTGAAGTCTCCGCAGTCCGCGGAGCGTTAGCACAGTAGCTAATATTTAGTCGTGGCCCACCGGTGGACGAAAATGATGACGCTTCTGAAATGATTACCTTTAAACACTTAAACCAACTAGTTATACAGGTTATGTGACGTAATTTTGAGTATGCGCATTCTAAAATTCTAGAAACGCAAGCCTCGCCCCCCCCCCATAGGCGTTGCAGTCTCCGTAGGACGCACGGCATCGCCTTAGCAGCTAATATTAAGTTGTGGCCAACGGGTGCACGAAAGTGACGACGCTTCTGAGAAAGCATCCTTGGACGCTTCATGACATCACATCTTGTATTTAAAAGGCAGTCTGAGGGCATGTTTCACGCGCGCAATTTTTAGATTGATGAAAAGAACGGATTGGGCCCAAAAGCACCGCGAAGTGGTGCTGTAATCTGGTGGTTTAAGTGGAAGAGTGAAGGTAAAATCTCTATTTTTCTTTCGTGTTTCCGCAGCTATTTATCTGTCCAGAAGACGGATTAACTCGGCGCCCGCCGTCTGGTGGCACTTGCAGTGGCCGAAACTTATCGGTTTTACGGAAGTTGCAACCCAGACCATCCTTGTCCTTGCTCTGGAGGTTGCGGGCGGGCGTGTTCAAGCCTTTTTATGTATTTTGTTTCAGTAATACATTATGAAAGAAATGAACGTTCTCAGGCAAACATGGCATGACCTTCCTGGTTTTTTAAAAATTCATTTCGACCCGTGCTTTTCAACAATGATGAGAGCCCCACTCTACTCAGCAATAGTGAGACCCTGTATTCCCTTCCGAGCAAGGGGCCTCTTTAGTGGAACACCAGGGGTACCTTACCGTTTCCGGTCAAGGGCTGAAGGACCATTCCGTCCCATCACGAAGTGTCCTCTGGGTATCATTCTGGTGCACGGGGGTCACGGGTGATCTCTTGGTCAATCCGGAGGTTATTAGAAGGATATGTGATATCACATTGTTCCCATCCCTGACACGGGAGGCCTTCTGATCCGCGCAGTTAACCCCGGATCAGCAGCAACAGGGACCCTCATTGACGCAACATCCCTGATCACCGCAGACAGTCCGATAGTTTTCACATAGACTCCAGTTCCATGTTTTTTCTGTGTTCTTCAGAGATATTGAGTTCTCCCCGACTGTAGATTGTAGATGAAATGGGGTTCACAATTTGTATTAACATGGCTAGCCCATGTTCGTCTTATAATGCTCAAGATCCTGTCAGAACTGATTACTGATAAGAAAACTACGTACTATGGTGTTAAACATGCGTGCTCGCAAGTCATAGTAATAACAGCCTCGACGCCCGGCGTTGCAGTCTCCAGGCCGTGCGGCGCAGGCTTTGTGGCTGTAACACTAAGCGATGGCCAATGAGCAAACGAAAAAGATGACGCATCTTAAGGGAGATGGCTGGTGAACTAGGTAAATCGGTGTACATGTTTAATGTAGTGCAAAAGTAAGTCAAATGCAGCCTTAATCTGAAAAGCGGGGGGGGGGGGAGTTAACATTGATGCCCCCCCCCCACACCTTGAGAAGTGGGGTGCCGTGGGCCCCCTGGGCCCCTGTTCCCACGCCCATAATGACTGGCCCTGAGGTGCCACGAGAGTATTTTTTTGCAATATGCTCCAAAGGTGGGATACTTCCTTTGAGGCAAAAGAGGAATCATTCACTCGAATACGATGACCTTACGATTATGCTGAACAGCAAATCTAAGGCACGAAAATAATCATGACTTCCAGCTTTTTTGTAATATGCGACTTATGATGATGACGTTACAACTATTACAATGCACAACCATCGCAAAGGAACAATTAGTCAAAAGGCTGCTGATTTTAGCTTTCTGATTGGCATTGCGTGTGACTTTATAAGTGGGGCCGAGAGAGCCAACGCAGACTATCGAAGAGAGCAGTGTTCTAGATGTTAAGAGTGCCGAGAGCCCGCAGGCTCTGGATTGGCAACAGTGCGCCGTACATGTTCACATTTTTAAACATTCACTGCGCACACGTTTTTCCCGTTGCCGTCGCAATGCAGGCCTTCATGAGCGTGGTTCGTTTTATATGATTCGCCCCTCTCTCATGCACGTGCTCTATCCAATCGCTACCCATGCCTATCAGTTGTGCTCATACGTTGCTGGTTTGCGTTTTTTTTTGTATTGAGGTGGTTGAAATTGTGATATCTAGGAACTTTGCGCCGTGACTCATTTTTCTGCGCCGCCAACCGCAGACACAGTGTGAATGGAACTATGTGTGATCCCAGCACGCACGGCAGCAACTTGTGAGGTGTTTCATGAAGTGCACGATATGTGTCGTGAGCATCTTACCCACACCTGCGTCCATGCTCGCGATGGCCCCCAAAATGCATACCCAAACCAGTCAGTTACCCGGCCGGTACGGGTATCCACGGGCTTACCCAACCGTTGAAGGCCGCTGCTTCTGGACACCATCTGGTGACACCCCTCTCTGGCATCTGGGCGGTCGCCGGCGCATTGCCGGAGGGAGAGGGAGGGGGAACACCCTCCGTGCCTGGAAACCCACCACCTGGAGCCTGCGCGGTCCAAACTGGAAATGACGTCACTCTGTGTGCGAGAGTGGGGCCACTGTCGGCGCGCACTGCCTGGCTTGTTCGATGCCCGGCGGTTCAGTGCGTGTGCTTGGTGTGCAGATCCGTGTCTGGATCGACGCTGGGAGCGTGTCCTCACCAGCAAGCACTACGCCGCGCGCCAAACGATTCATCGGTCTCGCTCGTATTTGTGTACTAGCACCCGGCACGCGGGTCGACTCTGGACAGGCAAATAGGGCGAGCAAGGCCTGGTGTGGATAGGCCGGCTTTGCAAGACGCGCAGGCATTTGCTCTCATCGCGAAAATGTTCTGGGCAACGGCGGCTGTCATCCGTGTGTGATCAGCGCGGTCATGGCGACCTTGATGTTGCCGCCAACTGGCCCTCGTGGGCTTTTCTAGTCATAACATTCCAGTCCAGTGTTTATTGTGGTATTCTCTTAACAGTGCATGGACTGCGGGATCTCCCTCGGAGAGGAGCGACATTAGTCTGGGCCCGCTCGTGAATCTCAAACACGTAACTCAGCCAGGAGCCATATTTTGGACGGGAGTGACGAGGGCGCGCCCGCCGCTTGGCTTCTGTCAGCAGATAAGCTACACCGCAAACCTGCAGATGCAAACATGATGGCTTTAACGACAGCCAGTGCGTAATTACCGCGGCTTAGCCCGGCCAGGATTGCGCCTTAGGTGCGGCCCAGCAGCTGCGTACGGATGTGATCGGGCCAGTTAGCCCTTGTGGTTACGCTTGCATTTTAGCTGGTTCGCTATTGTACCCCAGTGTGTCCGTATAGTGGACCGGTGGTCTATGTTGCCCATAGCCGGGCAACACGTGGCCGCATGTTGCCCGGCTGTGGCCGACGCGGTCTCATTGTCCCGGGCAGGCTGCGACAGTAGCCGGCGTCTCCTCGGCCGTACGGGCACTACATCGTGCAGTTGTCCGTGTCTCTCCTCGTCCGTGTCGGCACTACATCGTACTCTACCCCGCGTCTCTCCTCGTCCGTGTCGGCACTACATCGTACTCTACCCCGTGTCTCTCCTCGTCCGTGTCGGCACTACATCGTACTCTACCCCGTCTCTCCTCGTCCGTGTCGGCACTACATCGTACTCTACCCGCGTCTCTCCTCGTCCGTGTCAGGCACACATCGTACTGAGCCCGCGTCTCTCCTCGGCCGTGCAGGCACACATCGCACTGACGCGAGCATCTCTCCTCGGCCGTGCAGGCACACATCGCACTGACGCGAGCATCTCTCCTCGGCCGTGCAGGCACACATCGCACTGACGCGATCTCTCCTCGGCCGTGCAGGCACACATCGCACTGACGCGGCATCTCTCCTCGTGCAGCACACATCGCACTGACGCGAGCATCTCTCCTCTTTCGTGCAGGCACTACATCGTTCGCGGACCGGAGGGCACGCCGTACGTGGGCGGCCTGTATCACGGCATGCTGCGCTTCCCCTCCGAGTACCCGTTCCGGCCGCCCAGCATCTACATGATCACGCCGAACGGCCGCTTCAAGCCCAACACGCGGCTCTGCCTCTCCATCAGCGACTTCCACCCGGACACGTGGAACCCCAGCTGGAGTGTGTCCACCATCCTGACGGGCCTGCTCAGTTTCATGGTGAGTGCTGCCGCCGAGACGTGCGCGGGAGGGTCCGGGGAGCCCCCGGCACGGCGCGCTCTCAGAAGCCGGGCCGACCCCCGGCCGCCGGCTGCCTCGGGGCGGAGTTGCACCACGATTTGACGGCAGAGTGTATGGACGGCTTCGTGGAATCGCGTTCATCTGGTGTGCAAGCCCCGTCGCGCTCAGTATTTGTGTATTTAGTGGTTTGGTCTGCTTTCATTTATTTTTTTTTGATCGCTAGCTGAACGTTATCCGTTCGATTTTGTGGGAGTTTAGTACTCGATTTAGACACGCATTCCAGTTGACCAGTGATTTTCGTTGCCTGCATTTTATATTTATTCGCCTGATCCTTCGACACCTGACATTTAGCCAGGTTTGTATCAGCCATCGTGTTCTGTTTAACCCAATTCATGACCACTGACCACTGCGACATATTCCCAGCATATATTCCCTGCGACACGTTTGCTCACCACCCGGGCCCCGAATCGACGCCCCTCGCTGTCCGGCGTCGGCGGCAGCCCCGGCTCGAGCCGTGTGGTGACGCGCCGACTGACTCCCGCTCGCCGCCGGGTCCGCTTCAGCTGGAGGTCTCGCCCACCGTCGGCAGCATAGAGACGTCCGACTATGAGAAGCGCATGTACGCCCACCACAGTCTGCAGTACAACATCAACGACCCCACGTTCTGCGAGCT